GTGAGCACGAAACCTGGTTTCGTGCGAGAAACCGTGGTTTCTCGAATTATGATACAAATGGCTTGCCATAGACGTGTTACCGTTGTTCACTGTGCAGCTTATTATATGCAGCTACCAGACACAGCTCGACTGATTCCGTACCCCTATTAACCTTTACTGCATGGCGTAATATACGTCTATGCCTCATATTCTGTGATGACCCGTACTTTGACCAGATCACATATAAATAACTACACGTCTAACCCCCCAACTTACTCGCTGACAGCGCAATATTTTGAAAAATTCCATACAAATCAAACAGCATTTTACACTATTATAAATTACAATTTAACTGACATTTCTCCGGAATTATAATCCCTCGCAATATCGTCTGGGTTTGTCATGGCCAATGCAACTAGTTCCGGGTATTGCAGACAGCAATATGTATCTGACGGTAGATGTAGGGAGAGAATCGTTTGCGATATACCGAGTGTGGGGAGTTAACAGCAGGAGTGAAATTGGATTTTTATGGCTCTAGTGTAAGGCAAGTGTTGCCTTTGACTGAATCAAATTTGTTATGGCATTACGGCAGGTTGGATGGGCACTAATGCAAACATATCGTTCAAAGGAGTGCAATACAAGCCAATAAAATTTCCACAACCCTTTTTATGCATATGACACAAAGTCACACAATACAAGTATACGTGTTTCACATATAGAGCATTAAATTTATAAGAACACCACGGCCAATATAAGGAGCGCAAACACGACACTTGAATGCGGTGACATTCGAGCCGAGCACTAGTACCTGTGATGATGGAATCTCCGTACATGGCCTTGAACTCGTCAAACTTGCTGCCGTCGACGATTCTCGCGATCACCTCCCGTACGTCGAATGTCTTCATGAGGTTATCGCCGACGATGCCATAGAGATCTTCGGCTGGCAGCACCGGCGCTTCTGGCTCCCAGACCGTCACCTACACACACACACACACACACAGACGGACATCTAAAGATTCATGGGAACAGGATAGACGAGTTAGCAATATGGGGGTGTGATTCCATGACATCACCTTCAAGGGCTATGATTGATACACTCCTGATATTATCAGGAGTAGATGATAACGTTATCATCTTCATCACGTACTCTGCAGTAAAAACTGAGTCAGCAGACACCTCTTTAAAACGGACACCTAGCTGTCTACAAAGGATACTTCTGTCATATCAATTTAGTGGCAGTTACACAGCGAAACCACCTCTGCTAAATAGACACCTCTCTATAAAGATCATATTTGGGATTAAATACCCCTATTAATGTCCATTATAGCAAGTCTGGACACCGACACAATTTACTGGCTGACTATGTGTACACACACCATGGAAAAGATCAAGAAAAACCTTGACAGGCCAGCGAAAAAAATGGCACATCATCAGACTATATATAATTATCACCATAATTAAATGATCTAATTACAATCCATGTCAGAGGAAATATGAACAGCAGCTTCCACACAGCTGCACTTATCTGAGCTGTTGCATTTAACACATTAATTAACGAGTGTCTCATCGGCGTGTGAATTACGAGTGCTTTCCTAATACATTCCGATGAGAGTAGAACCAATATTTTTGTAATTATTTAATATTCACAAAATCTTAACGAAAATACTAAACTTAATACGAATTGAAATGAAAGTGTCAATGACACTGTAGCTCACCACAAACAAAACGGACAACCAAATGAGTGAGCTGAGAAGAAGTCACTTTTAACTTGAGCAACCCATCGACACGATTATAGAAACGAGAGTATATATCGGAGAAACTCCCATTATATACTCTTGATAATCTATATGTGTAATTTTTTATGCTTGAAAATAATAAAATAATATTATACTATAAATAATCAGATAATTTATAAACCAAAATGAATCACTAGATTTTGTGACGGTAGATGGCGCTATACCGGCTTTGATGTTTCTTAGCCAAAATCATTATATTCATATAATAATTAGATATAATAATACAGTATATTAAATCATATATGTTCGATGAGCCGAGGAAGTTTTGGCAATTAAAGATATTGTCAATGAAAATCTTGTAAAACGAACCAGCGAGTGTGGACACCACAGGACTGTTTGTTAATCTGCCTGGTCTATATAACTGCCGTTACTGATAATTGCCAAACCCCCCCTACCTTAATTTGCATAATGTTTTTTTTTAAATATCAAAACCTCTAAAGCGCTTATTCACTTCATATACCAAAAAGATGAGCAAATATCCGTGCGAACCTGAACTGACTAATAGCCAAGTCCCATTTGTTGCCCAAAAAATTGTGTGGGGGCGAGGAGGCGGTCAACTGGCTGTGCTCCAAGAAAAGGACGTTTAATATGGGAGCATAGCAGTAACAACTTTACCCAATTTCAAACATGTGGGTCAAACGGTTCCTGAGTTATCGTTGACCGTAGCCAAATGTTGACGGACGGACGGACGGACGACGGACGACGACCTATGGCAATAGCTCAGCTTGGCGATGTCAAGGTGAGCTAAAAACTAAACAATGTCATGAAGTTGCTATCTCTGTTTTTGCAAAAACCGGTGCACCCTGTAGGAAATCTCATCACTTTTCTGTAATATGTTTTATTGACATAAAGGTAGAACAAGGATTCTCAAGATATGTCCGTAACACATACTGCCTATATTCACTTTTATGGATTGTTTTGCTGTATGAATGTGAAGCAAACGTTCACCACCATATTTGACAACTTTCTAAAATGGCAGCAAAGGAAATGAATGCATACAGAAGTTGTTAGCACCATTTTTATGCACCAAGTATTGGGTATGCTTTATTATAACAAACGCACAGCCGCGACAATACTGCATTGTTGTCACAAAGTAGCAGTACCAAGCTCTTATCATGACCGAAGAGATGACGTGGGGATTGTTAAGGGTTCCGTACCTCAGGAGCAGATACTGTGTCTATGGGCCTAGCATGTGCGGCGAAGGAAGAGGGGGTGTACAGGGTACAGCCCAGGACTATCGTGGGGAGCACCCAGCAACGTAGTTTATCATGGGGCCTGCACTGGCTATGGACAGCCCTACTTCTCATGTTAAATGTTAGCATGGGCTTGGTTGCAGCGACAGGGATCTCAAATCAATATGGCAATGATGGAGACTAACATTGTACTCTGAGCACGCCCTTACACATCGAGACACTGAAGTCGTGTAAGTTTCCTAATGGGCCATGCATGGCCTACAGAGCTCGCATGATGGACGTAGGAAACAGCAATTATTGTCTAGCACTTCGTCTCCAATTCGCACGCTCGCCGCTACACCGCCAGCATTGCGTGTCACACTGCTTCTACGAGCTCAATGTTTGCCCTCGGTTATTCTTTTACGCCAGGTAATGTGGGAACGAGGGCTCGCGCATGATCAGATGTGGTGTCGACCACGTGCACGGGTGAAGATAACATGAGTGCGCACCAATAGAAAAGTCACACGAACACCGCTTCCCATCAAACTGGGAAAACTAATTTTTACATAATTTTTTTAAATCAATATGGTACATAAATAGAGGCGCACTTGTAAGCTTCACAAAAAGAAGCAGGTGATGTAATAGAGAGGGGACGCGGGTTTAAGTACCTTCCATAAACAAAAATATAACACAAAGGTACGCATTCACTAACGGAGAACATCTGAAACAGCGCATAACCAACATGTCAAGATAGGCCTACGTTGTTAGATGCAGCTAAATTCATATTTTTTAATCATTATCATTCGCGCGGATGTATTCACATTAGGAAAATTTTTTTTAAACATCTCAATGTGTCTAAACTGCTATCGTGCCAAGTCAAGAGCACCTGAGAGATAACACATCTTAGCAACTAAACATAATCCCTTCTTATAGTTCAGTCTGCACCTACAGTTAGTTCTAGTTGTATTATTAAGAAAGATAAATTATGTGACACCCATCTAATTACTGGTATAAGTGGTATTACAATGTGAAATGGGTAGAAGACAATTTTCGAAATAATTAATCCTCATTTAGAAGAGAAAATTATAAGCTTATATTAACTCATCTGCGTTTGACAAATGTCCTTTGCCTGTTAACACTTAAATATCATCTTTGAAGTTGCCGAAAGGGGAGCTCTGCTAGGAATAACTGTCATTGCATTAGCAAGCCATCAGTAATACACTTTAAAACAGTCACAGCGTTGATAGAATACTAACCGCTTTTAAGCAGGTTCATCTAAAAAAAATACTATGTACAGAAACAATTAATTTACAAGTGTTTACTGATTGAATTCTGGCCAGAGCAAATGGGAAACGAAAATGGTAAAATGTGTAAACCCACTGAAGCATCAACGTGACAGGCTCATATTGTGCGGATAAAATCTGCCCCACAAACATAAAATGTAAACCTATTAAATTATTTGTAATGTCACTGAGAACATACTGCGAATCTAAGTGGTGCGTTCATGTAGATAAATGACAGACGAGCATCACTTCGCCTCTACGGATCAAAACGGCTCTCTCCGAGTAAACAATTTTTAAGCAGGCTCTACGTTGCTAGAATCTACCATGTGCAGACACAATCACTTTAAAATTATTTAATTCTGAAATGCACATACCCACAGGGATATCAAAGAAATAAACTTATATTGTGTTGATGAAATCTGCCCCGCAACCATACAACGAAAACTATTAAATTCTTTTTAATACTGAAGAGAATATGCTGCTGGTCTAACCTGTGCATTTGTGCTGAAAAGTGGCAGACAGACAGGTTTGTTGCAAAGGGATATATATATAGCTCTCGATTAAATGCAACACTCACTATATTAATAGCTTCCCCCCGCAGGCACATAAGGGTGTAGCCCGAGTGCTAGCAGTTATCAAAGACGACTACATTAAATTGACTACGTCACTAATTTTCTGAAACAGCGCATAACCAACATGTCAAGATACGTTGTTGGATGCAGCTAAATTCATATTTTTTAATCATTATCATTCGCGCGGATGTATTCACATTAGGAAAATTTTTTGTAAACATCTCAATGTTTCTAAACCGCTAAAGTGCACCTGAGAGATAACACATCTTAGCAACTAAAGATAATCCCTTCTTATAGTTCAGTCTGCACCTACAGTTAGTTCTAGTTGTATTATTAAGAAAGATAAATATTGTGACACCCATCTAATTACTGGTATAAGTGGTATTACAATGTGAAATGGGTAGAAGACAATTTTCGAAATAATTAATCCTCATTTAGATGAGGAAATTATAAGCTTGTATTAACTCATCTGCGTTTGACAAATGTCCTTTGCCTGTTAACACGTAAATATCATCTTTGAAGTTGCCGAAAGGGGAGCTCTGCTAGGAATAACTGTCATTGCATTAGCAAGCCATCAGTAATACACTTTAAAACAGCCCCAGCGTTGATAGAATACTAACCGCTTTTAAGCAGGTTCATCTCTAAAAAAAAATACTATGTACAGAAACAATTAATTTACAAGTGTTTACTGACTGAATTATGGCCAGAGTAAATGGCAAACGAAAATGGTGAAATGTGTAAACCCACTGAATTAAGCATCAACGTGACAGACTCATATTGTGCGGATAAAATCTGCCGCAACAAACATAAAATGTAAACATATTAAATTATTTGTAATGTCACCGAGAACATACTGCGAATCTAAGTGGTGCGTTCATGTAGATAAATGACAGACGAGCATCACTTCGCCTCTACGGAAACGGCTCTCTCCGAGTAAACAATTTTTAAGCAGGCTCTACGTTGCTAGAATCTACCATGTGCAGACACAATCACTTTAAAAGTATTTAATTCTGAAATGCACATACCCACAGGGATATCAAAGAAATAAACTTATATTGTGTTGATGAAATCTGCCCCGCAACCATACAACGAAAACTATTAAACTCTTTTTAATACTGAAGAGAATATATATATGCTGCTGGTCTAACCTGTGCATTTGTGCTGAAAAGTGGCAGACAGACAGGTTTGTCGGAAAGGGATATATATAGCTCTCGATTAAATGCAACACTCACTATATTAATAGCTTCCCCCCGCAGGCATATAAGGGTGTAGACCGAGTGCTAGCAGTTATCAAAGACGACTGCATTAAATTGACTACATCACGAATTTTCTATGGTAAAATTTGTTAAATTTTTGTTGCC